ATTTGGCGACGGGGCTATTCAAGCCAGTGTCGGCAAAGCGAATTTCGGTAAGGAACGGAACCAAATTCTAGTATAATTCAGTACTCTTTATCTAGTCAGTGTTGAAGGAGTGTTTTATTGCTGTCCTTCTGTTTTGAGCAAGTTTAGTTGCTGTCGTGGCAGTAACGAAAGCCTTATGAAGCATCTCAGATGAAATTCATCGGATCTCCAGCCAATTAATTATCTCTGTAGTCATTCGTATAATGAGAAATTGGATTCTGTTCTAGAGTCAGTAGCAGAATCCAATCATGACGCAGATGAGATTACTTCCAATTCATGGTTTGGAAGACTTGAAGATTTATTCAAAGTGGAATTGGCCGAACTAGATAGCACAGCAACGAAAACTCATGTCGGCTTTCGTAAACTTGGATAAAGTGAACATTTTTTCCTTTCCTTCACGTTCCCCAGTGGAACATAGGGCTTCAAACTAGTGGCTTAAAGTTTCTGTAGCAGTGTTTAATTTTATAGGATGCGGTTGCCAGCCTTATGTCCAACCTTTCCTCTTTACCAGCATTAGTTTTAGATCAGTGAGGTAAAGGAGTGGTTCGTCGGTCGGGGATCGAACCCCGGACCATGTGCATGGTCGGCGAGCGTCCTAACCACTATATCACCAACGCACAAGTAAATTTAATAAGTATGTTAATTTTATTTTGCCAAAATGTCCTGAGGACACTGGTTTCGAAGAAATGATTCAAATTCTTCTCAAACTTTCTGAAGAACGAGCATGTCTTATCAATACCAGCTATAATATGACATATATATGTATATTGTTAGAGGTCACGAGGTGAGATGATGTTCCTTAGCAGGCTAAAACTTGGAGCTGGAAAGCGAATAGACAGTTAACTGAGCGAATTTGGATGACATGATTACCACTACCCGTCCCTCGGCATAGGATTATGTTGGACACATGGAGTTAAGTGTAGAACCAAGCTTGACTCTTCCATACATATATCACATGGTGATGCAACAAGTATCTAGAACGAAGTCTCCCGTGTTTCCAACAATAATGTCTGTCTCTCTATCTGATAAATGGTTTAGTTCTGGTGAAGGTTTCAGTACGAAGTTGGCGACGAGATTATAACAAACGATGGCAATATTCACCGGAATAAAAGGCGATAAATAAACTGTTTTGGGAAGAGAATTATCGGCAAGAGAAAACAAACAGGTGGGTAGTGATCATGAGAATGCTTTTAAAAACCACGAAAGCGTGTGGGTGGTTTCAACTTTCTAGATGGTACACCATGAAGGCTGATTTCTCCACAAAGTACTTGAAAGAGCAATGGGCATAAGTTCTGAGTGACTTGGGTGGGGGTGGACAGCCGGTTGTAACTGGTCCCACATGGCCCATATCGAAGGAAAGCTCCGTTCTTGAGTTCTCAACCGCCTTAAAGTAAGTTTAGATGCAGGAATTTTCCAAATACACTTTTTCATAGAACATGGAGGGGTGGGATTTGTAACCTGCTCGTTACCCCTGTTATACTCCTGGTCATAAACACTGGGAATTCGTCTTCAGACCCCTACCATAGTAGAAGATACGTATCCACCGATGAATAACTGTCCTTAACCTAACCGATATCCAATGAACATGTATTATTTACGGGGGAGACCATAAAACGTCTTTCCAATTAATACAGCCCGTTGGATTATTGCGATATGCAACCCGGATCACCACATCAAGGTATCAGCCATAGGATTGTGATATTCCTTGGACTAAGGGCAGCTTGATCTAACGCGCACACTTTATGTAAAATACCATCCGCATTAATAAACTAATAAAAGTAATTAGAAGACACAGGAAACTAAAAGTACTTAGAAATCGATAACTAATGTGTGCGATTATATTTCAATTATCAGCGAATTTTGTTGAACACCTACACTTAATGCTGTAGACTAAATTATAGCGACCACATAAGTTCGCGAATAAAAAATTCGACCGACTGACTGAGCTTTAACACAGAAATTAGCACAAAAGTGCAGAACTCCACGTCACTACTCTCCATGCAGCACGCATAGTTAGGGAAAATAGGAAAAATAAGCAGTAATGGGTGGAAGAAAGAACAGTACCATGGATAAAAGATGACGGTTTGGTGGATATGAGGAATCGTAGGGAGTGAATACATCTGCGCCACTGAGAACGTTACTGGTCGCAAGCTATTGGTCTTTAGAGTCCCAAGGACATCAACCAGACAGTCTACCCCTACCTAGTTGGCTGTTTCAAATCAACTGTCAATAACTTTATGGTGATGGGTTTTCGTTTGATCATCCCCAACTCCTTTCCCACCTAATTATATGTCAACTAGCATTGCACATCAAGGAAAGCGACGACTTCGCACGATCGACATTTGCCCTATCCATCTGGATTGATGTGGCTTATTAAGCTCATCGATTGAATACCCCTCCTTACCAAATGCTTAACACACGAGATGGCTATGCAACCATAAATGTGATCATAGACAACTGGCCTTTTCACATCTTCAATGGCCTTGTCTCACAGCCAAAAACGAGGAAAAAGTGAACTCGTGCACAGTGTGCACGTCGTTTGATCGATAGCCCGATATCACGTCTTCGCTAGAGATGACGGATGTTGGCTAATGATGCACAAGCCTTTTGTATCCATGCTGAAATTTCATCACTAATCAGTCTATTGGGGCTTATGCAGATTTCCAAGTGGCCAACATGCTGTACAACTGCCGTCTCTATTTTTAGCCTGGAACTCGCTGTATTCCGAACTGGTACGAGCAAATCACATGCCAATAAAAAAATTTATGGACACTATTTCCACTACTAAATATCATTAAGTAGTAAGATGTTTTGAAGGTTGCATTTTGATGAACGGCAGTAAAATATCCTTATCTCAATAGTTAAGGACCAGAGAGTTTCAGTCATTTGGATTGCATTCCACCATGAGACAAAAGATAGATGAAGTGGACATGACCGATTATTTCTATTCTCTGACAATTAGCAAAAGTTACACACACACACAGTTCAAGGTGGTTATTCACCATCTGCTTTGGCTTCAAAGCAAGAAACATTTTGAGGGAAAATATTGTTTGTCAATAACTTCTTCTTCTTCAAGTTCTACAGTCATAAATCTATGAATATTATAATACAACAGTACCAACTAAACCAAGTCAAAGTTATAGGATATGGAATGAACCTGTGACCCATTGACGTAGGTGTTCAACCTCCAACCAGGTCTTCACGGGCTTGATTCCCACTCCACCTACAGAGGTTCGTTAAGTTAGTCAGTGTCATTTCCCCTCCATACATGAAGTGCAGCTCATTGTTCACTGTATGGAAATGTAGATGGTTGTACGGTAACCAGGAACATTTTCGCTAAATGGAATAGCAGTCGATTGGCTTTTGCTTGGGCATCTGTATCATAACTAATGTGTCAGCTAAGCACTATAGTTTGATTTGAGTGGTTTGCAACTACCCATATCAATCTGTTAGTAGTATGTAGCACCGCGGTGTGTTTTTTTGCGATATTTGTTTAACGTATGCTAAGTGAAAAATACCATCGGTTGAATAAGATTACATCGAGTGAATATTGTAATAGCACTAGTGATTGTGTTTAGAGTTGGCTCATTCGTCACCAAGATAATCTCTAACAGGTGGCACTGTAGCTGCTTTCGTTGCATCCAATTGCCAGTCAACGAGGAACTCTGGCTGGAAAACGAACCAACCAAGAGACCTATTGATCAACAGATATACACAAGAGAAAATGGAGATGGATTGGTCATACACTGAGGACACTCGTTGAACGAAATAACGCACCAGGTTAGTCCTAAAGTGGAACTCGAATTGGAAGCGACAATTTGTGCATAGATATGAAGGTAACATAGAGGAAATCGTGTGAGATAACGGTTAGAGATTATGGGCGACCATGGAGCCAGCCAGCCACAGAGGACTGAAGATAACAAGATAAGATCAAGGAATGCTGCTAATAAAGTCCTGTTTCGCTTAAAATCTAAAGGAATAATAATATAACAATGAGAATGTTTATAAGGAAATACATAGTTTTGTAGAGATACTAAGAAGAAATAATTGGCGAGTGTTGGTAACATGACTCAAAATCATTTTCAACGGTTCAAGTGAATTCACTTCTTGTGAACTTACACATTCATTAAATCTTTGTCAGAATCATTCTTCCTATTGCATTTCTTCCTTGTGACTTAATATGCACTTTTAAAAAGTGCAACAAATTCAACTGATGCACTATTGATTATTCGAATGTTGGTTTGCAGGAATTCGATTGGCTACAGGATTTTATCTCATGAGCTGACATCAATTAGAGAGCTATCGCAAAAATCAACTGAGCATATTAGATAGCTATTTCTTCCTTCAATTGTCGGGGGGCTCTTCACATCAGTATGCACCCGCCGGGGTAAGAACCCAGGACTTACAGGTTACAGAGCGAGCTCTTAGAATTGGCAGAAGTTAGAATGTACAAGCTATTGGATCAGGAGGTCCCAGAGTGGCTGAATGGTCTACGCAGTCGCCTTGTAAATGGAAGGTTATGGGTTCAAACTCTTGTAGTGGGTGCGTACTGATTGGGAAGAAACAGCTATCCATTACTCCCTGCTATATTTTCAGTAGTACTCTGACCGATATCAACTCATGATGAAATCCCGTAACCAATTGATTATTCAGTTAGCGTTTGGCACAGATATTCAGTGGTGACAACTCTCACCTTGACCATTGGTGAAAGATGAATATATATGCAAGGTAGGATAATTCAATAAAGAGTAATTAACAATAGTACATGAAGGTACATACTACTAATTGAGTGAAAATGAGTAATCGGATGACCACTAACTCATTCGATACACTAACGTCATCAGACACGAACCACCGGAATCAGCTTAAGCTAGTTAAAATGTTCAAGTTCTGAATGACTGACAGTTAAATAACAGAAAATTAAAATGATAAATAAATGAAACACCACCACTACCACCTACCGCATAAAATACTTCCGGTACAAATTGTTCTCTTGTAGTCTCTCGAATATAACCCAATTCAGGTGCATCATATGTTGGTACTAGAATATTATCCTTCTCCAATGCCATAGCTTGATTACTCACTTGATAAGCTTCAAAATGAATATGATTTGATGCATCAGCGGTGACGACAACAGTGACAAATTTCGATCCGAAACACCCATCTCGACTAAGACGACAGATATTTGGATGCAAATTTTGAAAGCGTGCAGCTGTGATACACTCTTCAGCGCTTAAAAAGAATGTGTCCTATATATATACATGGGATATGGGGAAGAAAAGAATGCATGTTTCACTCTTAACCATTAAAAGGGAAAATAAAACATGAGAACTTAAAAATCTTTATTTGCTTATTTTCAAATCAAAAAAAGTGATTATTCACATTGCTGTTTCAGCAACTATAATTGATTGGCTTAGATTTTCATTATTCCTTATGGGTTTGTTTTCCCAGTAGGATTTATAAATTCCATTTATGAGCCACACACAGAGGTGTGTGGGGGAGTGGAGGGGTGTAGACTACCTGGTTGGGAACCGAGGGATGCTAAGGACCAATGAATCGTGCAGATGCATTCACTCTCTGATTGAATCACCATATTTCCATATATTACTGTTCTTCATGCCATATATGTCTGACCATCTTTTTTCGACATAGAAGTTTGCACCGATGTGCGGCACTTCAAGTCACCATACTCCCTCCATATAGCACACAAAGGAAGAGAAGAAAGTAGAAGAAACGCATATTAGAGACAGTAAAGAGAGGTGTGAGACAAAGGAAGAGTAATAACGAAGAACAAAACAGTTTCATTGGAAATCATAAGTCACAAGGAGTGGATTTTGAGCCATATCACCAATTGTTTCCAACCATCGGTTTTTACCGTCCCGAGGACCCCAACCAGTCAGAAAGTCTACACCTTCCTACGTGGCTTAGACTAACTGTTGTAGATTTCATTGACTGGTGCCATATTTTGGCTTGACCACCACTAGCTCTTTTCCAGCCTGACCCTATGTCAGCTAACATTGGTCGTCGAGGAAGGCGATGACTAGGCATACGTAACACATGTGCCAACCATCTCAGTCAATGTAGCTTCACAGCCTCGTCGCTTGATTTCCCCTCCTTACCTAGCACTCGACGCCTAACCTAAAGTGCTATGAATGCCATATACATTTCTGTTCATAATAGTTCTCTGGAATATTTTTTTTCGACGAAGTAAACTATCGTAGCCAAAGTCAAGGTCTTCCAACAGTTGACCTTGAAGAGCCAATCAGGTTGGAAAGATATTGCGGGAGATTATTCCGGATCGAAATTAAGCCTGCCTTTATGGCTTTGGTCAATTTGTTCCATGAAGATCGAGTATCTAACTACTGTGTTAATGAGGAATTAATTAGAGTGACGAAGACTTCTTTGTGTGTATGGTGGGTTGAGGGAGGCTATCACAATATGGGCCATAAAACCTGCTATGCATGTCATTGATATTATAAGAGAAAATCGGTTTGTAAGGATAGGTGTGCAGTATTTCACTTATTCTTCAGGTATTTTTTCCTCGAAATCTAAGCTGTCTTCGTCAAATATCCTACGGTTCATATATATTGTTGGACTTCTCAAAGGCCTGTTTTAAGGGCAGTACCAGTTGAGATGGAAAACAGTCTGGTGTCTCTGCAGTAATATAGTATCAGGATTGTAGAAACACAGCATTATGCAGGTTGGAAAGAATCACCACCTTACTCGGAGGAGACGTAAGGTTAGCGCGATCGTTCATATTGATGAAACTGTCCTCAATGACTATATGACTTTTCTTCCATCTAAATTCTGATTGGTTTTACAAGCTTTGACAGTTTAGCTTCGCTCTTTTTCCTCCACCATTTGCGTGCTGGACGGTGGCTGACAACCTAAACTACTGTACTTCGATGCAAAATTCCCTGTTACCATTTCCACGATTGATCACAAACATCGGTTTTTTCCACATTTCATGATCTTCTGTATGTCATTGTCCCAAACCCAACCAGTTGCTTTTCATTCAGTTTTCACTAGAAAGCCTGACATGTGACGTCACTTGAAGGTTCCATTAGTCTTACATCCAAGTGACCTTCATTATTTTCTGTTCATTTGTTAGACAATAGGTTGTTAGCTGGTTTATTCATAGAACTCCCTATTGATCAACCTTTCGTGATGTTCGATCGTCAAATATTATGAGAAAGCAGCTGTTAATGAAGATTTTCAAGTAGCCTGTTGAAAATGTTCCCGGTGAAGTACTAGGTCCTTGATGATAATATCGTGAAACATACTCCCTTCTTACATTTTGTGCTAAGTAATTCGGTTCTTCAAAGAGAGTTTTATGCAAAGAACGCCGCCTATTTCGCTTTTCCGATCCGATTCGACCCTAGTTGGCTTTGGCATCCTCATCTGTGCCATCTACCAACCCTCCCCCTGTAGTTGAAACGATACTGCCAAAATGATAATTAAAGAAGCGAGGGGGGGGAGGGAGAACAATAACCTACTTCATAAACTGTATTAATCTTTAAAAGTAACATATTTGGCTGAATGGATGTTGTCGTATGTGATTATTAAATTCACACTGATTATATTTAGTGTTTCATATATGAATATGAAACGGGATCGTCTATCTCGAGTGAAAACAGACACATGTATTTCTATGACAACTGTGAAAACAATCAAGAAATGAAGCGTTACACATATCACATATTTAGTGCTGGTTATTAGGGAAATGTCAATCCCAAAATGTACATTTCTTCTCATTCTTTAGAGATGTTCTTCACTGCGTCAATGGTCCCAGTGGTAGAATACTCACCAACCACGCCTCATATGGCCCAAGGTACAATCCCAGCCGATATATACTTAAACGTCGCTTAGCCGATTGAAAGGCCGATCGACAGGCAGGATTCGATGTGAGGCTGACACCCCTAACCCGTAAAACGCTAAGCACCACTGCTGCTGAGACGTCAGATATCCGGGCATTGAAGCCTTCTACTATGTGTATTCCACACGGAAAGCGCAAAGGATTAAAATGAAATGATAACTTGAATATTCTTTACTAAATCATAGTCTTCCTACTGACAGTTAAACACGCCGCACTATGTTCCAAAACTCAAAAGCACAAAACTTTTAGGCTATTGAACCATGAAATAGTAGAAGGGAATATATAAGTCTTGCATTCCACAGGTAATACTGACTTTAAAGATACCAATTGTTAAGTCCAATTTCGAAGTTCGGAAACTTGTAATAAAGTTCGACTTATTTCTCGTTAAAACTGAATATCTATGAAAGTGGTATTCAGTCATCACACTTAGGTTACTTTAGTGAAGAAAAATTAGAATATTTCCAGTTAGGCTACATTATGAACCATTATCAGCAATAGACCTATTGAAAACCACTACTGGAGTACTAGACAGTCATTTTCTTCCTAGTCCGAGACTCTCTTCAACAGTATACATCCATGACACTTGGCGGTTAAAAAGGTGAACACGTTGCCAATTAGTCAGTGGAAAATAGAATTCAGGAGGCTCATGAGTTCTAACATCTCTGTCAATCTCATTGAATTTTAGATTTTCCCGTCGATTGATTGGACCGAAGTGCTCGCTCTCAGGTTGACATGCCGCCTTCTTGTGCAGATGCTTCGACGATGTCTGGGCATTTAATTAGTATTTAATTGGTGGATGGTGACTAGCAGTGAAATCCACGACAACGCGCATTTCGTCCTATTTGGTACTCACCGGCCGGATGTACATGCATTTCTCGGTGAGTGATGATGTTCCCACTGAGGCTCCAACCCAGTGACCATAGTTCTAAACGCCAAAGCGTTATCCACTAGACCACTTGGGCCATGAGAGCCACCTTTCGTGCAACAGGTCATATTAATTTCATCGAATTTTAGATTTCCCCGTCGATTGACTGGACCGAAGTGCTCGGTCTCAGGTTGACTGGGTACGAGCCTCGGTGGGAACATGATCACTCGCCGAGAAATGCAGGTACATCCCGCTGACGAGTCAAAAATAGGGCGAGATGCGCATCCTGAATTCCACCAATTAAATATCTCTGTCACCTGCCGATATATAGCGCTACCGTCAACCAATGATATAATAATCGATGAACACTTATCCATACAACCAGCTTGATGGATCCTGATGGTCACAACTTCTCACTAGACACTCCAAGAAGTCTAATTCGTAGTCAGTCATCACTATAATGGTGTGTGTGTGAGGGGTACGGGGTGGGAATATAAATTCATTTCCAAGTGCTAGTTTTGTAGAGCTTTGACTGCTTTCAAATTAGATAAACAGTCTACTTGAGAACCACCTTTCAACAATCTACCTTTTAGAAAAGACATGAGAATTTCGTCTCTTATCTTATTCAAAACTAAAGCATTACATTGGTGGAATATAAATTAATTGCTCAAAAAAAAATAAAAAAAATAACAAAGAACAATTAAACTTACAACAGTCCCACGAAAATGCTTCACTACGCCATTGCCACCTGGATTTTGAGCAACTAAATCTGTAAAAATCCATCCAACAGGTTGTAGACCGATTCGTTTAGCAACTTCTGCAGCATGTTTTGGAAAAACTCTGTCAAGTGGATCAGTCAATTTCACTGATCTAGATGTGGATTCCTATTGAAGAAATAGTAATACATATATTAATGATGATCATAGATCAATCGGAAAGTTATCAAGAGAGATTTTAATGACCTATATGTAGTACACATGTCCTTTTATGTGGAGATCTCTATCTATTTGCCTAAACTTAGTCTCATGGGGGAAATAGTACAAAAACACATTGATTTCTTTTCGTCCCAGATGGAAAATGGGGCTTCAGGATATGAAGTTTCACTGGAGGTGGTATTGTTTCGTTTTTAGGGGATTTAGGCAGTCAGTCTCAGGTACAATTTTCTCACTTTATCAGGCATACATCCCACTAGGGGAGATTAAGGAGATTGTGTTGGCCGGAAGTCGGACCTGGATCTCACGCATGTGGTTGACGAGTGTTTTACCTATCACTGAACTACCAAAGTAGAGATTTTAGCTCACTTTAAAATATTCAGCCCTGCTAAATATACTGAGTGATAGTTGAACGATATTTAACATTCTTTTCTCACCTATTCAACTGATCTCTATCTATAATGTGAATGATAATAGAGATTACAGTGGACGCGCTCACTGACTAATTAACTCAATCGAATGACCAAATCTAAAACAGCAGACTGGTAATTAACAAACTTTGAATGAGCACAAATAATTAGTTTAGATTTTCACAACTTAAGCGAGCCATACACCGGTGAAGATGTGACTCCTTGACTTCAGTTCATAGCTGTAACAGGTTCCCCATTCCAGTAAGTGAGAAGTACTATGAATAATGTGAGGCTCATAGTCTAGTGTACATGAAAAATTTGACCAACGTAGCTGAATTTTAACCATCAGATATCTGACTGCCACAGACTGTAATCTCATTCATACATACAGTTGAACAAAAATGATCAACGCACATAGAGGATTCATCAATAAGACTGAAAGTCTTGCGTGTCAATACCTCATACCTCTTAGTCCATAAGACACATTTTGTTCCTCAGCTGTGTTTTATAGTACCTTGGTTCCAACGTGTGTTTCCTTTTTTTTCAACCACTTGGAGACAAATTCTCTGTCATGCAAGTAGACAATCGCCTATTTATTTGCCTCCACACAACCACATATTGATATACACAGTTGAAAATGTTTCAGGATATCGACGAGAGAGAGAGAGTAGTGTGTGTATTCCGGTGAAGAAATCGAAAAAAATTTGATGAATTGATTAAATCCCGTTTCACTAACACTTATTGTTTGTCTTTTAAATCCATATCAGGAAAGAAATGCTACCAGTTTTGATTCGAGAACAAAAGAGTCATGAAACCTAAATTGCTTACTTGAGCTGGTTCATAAATTGCAGCGACAACAGCTTTTATTGCCAATGGTGGGGAACCGGGTGCATCAAAGTGAGCATAACGTCCAAGTAGAATACCGATACGTTGACAATTAGTCTGTCGCCAATAGTCCAGAAATGTATCCATTAATTGAGGATTTTCAAATTGTACAAAATCCACATGACGATATGCTTGAATTTCTAAGGTTACTGGATTCGGTTGACATTTTGTACAAATACCATCAGGCCAGGCAGGATGATCACGACAACCTGGACGGATACGACAGCTTAAATTCTCCAAGAAGGCAAATTTACCCCTAAACAAAATGCATACAATTAAATTGTAGACTGGTAATTTTTAATGAGTTATGAATTCGCATGCCTAACATTGAAGGGTAAAAACTAATTGCAACACTGTTTTATTGCTTATTTTATGGGCAATTTTAATTCTAAGATCAGGAAGAGAGTTTTAGCAATCGGCGAACACCTATTTCAATCCACACATCAGTTGAAGAACCGTTGGAAGCAAAAGAACTGTTTCGTCCTAGTTTGTGACTCATCATCAATACACACCAATCTACCTTTGGGGTATCAAAACTAGGATTTTCAGGCCAAAAGTTGAGCCTATTGAACACTCAGCCTCATACGACTGGTCCTGAATTCGATTTCTACAATGGGACTGTTGGTGAGAACTAGTAAGGAGCCCCAAATTGGGAGGAAACAGATGTCCAGTGCTCCATGGTTTGCATTGATGGAAATGACGGGGAAACTATCTTGAAATCTAAAAGGAAATTCAAGTAATAACTAACTAACTGAGGTTCAGCCTAGAGCTCTGCCTAGAAATGAAGAAGTTAATACACTGTATACATAGCAAAAAGGTAAAGAAAAGAAACTCCGAAGAACTGTAGTGACCGGAAATTTCCAGTAGAATGAATAATTACATGGAACGTGAGGACTCAATGGATCTAGGATATAACAACGAATGGATGAACTACTGAAAACGGGTTCACACCATACCATCAATAGTCTCTAGCAATTGGTTCTTAGCATCCTGAGGACTTCAACCAGGCGGTCTACACCTCCATCTATGACACTGATGCCATTATTTGATTTTTCCTCATATAAAGATAGCTTTGTTTTGAAGAGTGTTTATATAATGTGTATAACTTTCAGTGGAAATTATTACCTAATAGTTCCTATTTATCCAAGACCTTCAAGTAAAACAGTAACTGACAGAAAATCGAGCGACACACTGCTGTCTGACCTGAAACAAAAAATCAATCCCCTAAAAAACCTTGCTTCTCTGCCTCCCCCCTTCGAGAAATGCACAACACTTGGTTGAAAGTCAATTAAGAAAGGCACAGAAGTACACTGTCTGACCCAAGGAGAAGACACTCGAGTAATCAGTTTTATCGCTTACGTGGTGACAGTGTGTACTGAGAATATCAGGGACACCTATATCATGTGTTGGAATACGCTGCCACCTACAATTTTGCTTTTTCCCAAGTTTAGTAGGAACTTGTGGATCAGCAGATTGTAGACATTTTAAATACTGAATAAGAGAAATTATATGCAATACATAATGACTGAGTATTTTGGTAGTCCATATTTAAAGCAGGATGTTCAACACATCAGCTACCATTGTTTAACGAAGAAGGCGATAGGTAAACATGAGCAACACACGCCCTAGCCATCTCAATCGATACTGGCTTCGTAAACCTCATAGATTGATTTGTATTCGAACCACCTTACATAAAAATAAGGTCATTACATGCTCTCAAGTGTAACTCAAAATATTAGAAGTAATGAAGAATAATGACATGTATACACCCCAAAATGGTGCACTACAAATCAACATCATTTACAGATAATAGAATACTAGAGAAAAAATGGAGAGGTGTTTCAGCATAGTCTATGACTCATCAGCAGTGATTGATGAAATCTAGGTTGAAAGTAAGCCAAATTTCTACAAAAATATCCATAATTTAAAATATCGATGGTCGGTTCAGTGATGACGACTACTGAGTGGATTTCCTGAAATGATACCGAGGAGTCGTGGTCAGTACGGTTGAAGGCATTGGTTATGAGCAGCGCTATATATCACAATCAACAGATTGACAAAAGTTGGGATTCACGAGTCACTGAATTCCAGCCGAAGTGGAATGGATGAATAGTCACCGATCTTGGCAGCCTGGTAACTTAAGGGTCCTAGGTTCGATTCTTGATGAGAATGTGGGTGCGAACTCTTGAAGAGATCCAAGCTATTAGGAAAGACAGCTGTCCAGTGTCCCCCGGTTTTCAGTGAACTACCTCTAACTGATATTTGCCTCGTGACGAGATTTACTAAATCCAATTATCTCTACATATGCACATATATTTGTTTACTAGACTACCAATTACACATATCTTGTGATCACCAGTCTTGCAATAATAAGAAGATTGAACCACATATCCTAGTAATTAAAAAGCTTACAGTTTTAACTAAAACACGTTACAGTTACGCTAAATCAATAGTGAAATATCTCAAAATCGAAGATCTGCAAGTGGAAACAAACAACTTCGCAGAAGAAACAATGAAGACAGAACTTCAAATATGAACGCATAGAAAACAGAGGAGATAAAGACACCTAGTTAACAACAACAAGCACTAATCACCACCAATGGGAGAAATTTGAAGGAAAACGTCATCACCTCTTTCACTCAACTAAGCAGAATCATTTCAACTACAAGATGTCAAAGCCAGACAGGAGATGGAAAAAGTGAGACAAACTATCATTATTGTAATGTTGGAATTAATGTGGAGATCTGAAGCACTCAGCAAAAGGGAGTGGAAAAAGGTACGAATTTTGAACATTAATATGCAATCAGTGCTTATCTGTATATGGTTCAGAGACTTGATCAGTTTCACAAGAAGCAGGCTACTCTGCCAATTGCTATCAACAACTGTCATCACTTGCTCGATATACTAAAAATCATATGGTCAGCTACGAGGGAACAAGAAAAAAGCGAACTCTGGTAACGAATCAACTAAGAAGCTACCACTCAACAGATAATGACAATCTGAACATGACATGAAGGGTGGATTATGTAAGGCGAGGGAATGAAAACTTAAGGGATACTTTGCAGCCGGCTAAAAATGACAGCAGAGAACAAGGTTATGCTACTGAAGTGATATGTATCCACATATATATATTTAGGTGTGTGTGTGCATGTTGGTCTCTCTTTCTGTTTGCTCGCTTAGTCTGTGACCACTTCACTTGTATGGACTTGTCTCCTTTAATAATGTGTATTCTCCTTATATTATATTATATATAATATGAGTGTTTGTTGACAGTCCGTTGCTTGGTGACATATATCCATATATGTTTGTTGGCATGTCTGCTATATTCGCTATGTATAATTGGATCGACACTCCATTATAATTAGCCATTCATGTTAAGACTGTCTAATGATTTTTCCCACGCTTGTCTGAATTATTTATATATATTCGCATTCACAATTTGTGTGAACTACTATACAACTACTTTACTTACTTACCACTTTGGTGTGAGACCATTTATTTTCGTCTCCTTGTGTTTGGACAATAGAAGTATCATCGCAAACCTAGTGGTCTTCTGATTTCCGCCTTCTCGCGTCAGGACTATTAGTTTCTCGACCAGTCCATAACAATAATTTAGCGACGAGTACATAACAATTTGGCGACGGGGAAAACTAGAACATAACAATTTGGCGACGGGGAAAACTAGAACATAACAATTTGGCGACGGGGAAACTAGAACATAACAATTTGGCGACGGGGAAAACTACTATTAACCACTCAGCAGCAGCAACATAACAATTTACTATGGATTATTCTAAATTGGAATTATTGTTTGAACAACAATTGAAATTAATGGAAATGTTCGTCAACCAACAGACTGGTCCAGCTTCACCTTCAAGCAATCCCAATCATACCATGCTACCATCTGTCGACGGAATTGTGAACAGTATTTCACAGTTCAATTATGACCCAGAGGCTAATGTCACTTTTGACACATGGTATCAACGTTATGAGGATTTATTCACTGTTGATCTCGCCTCACAAGACGATGCCTGGAAGGTGCGAGTTTTGCTACGTAAATTGGGTCCGGCAGAATATGAACGGTACTGCAACCTAATTTTACCACAGAAACCACGTGACAATTGTTTCGATGATACAATAAAGTTGCTGCGTGAACATTTCGGAGACCACTCCTCATTATTCAGTATACGTTATCGTTGCCTCAAGCTGGCAATGAATGAAAATGATGATTTTCTTACTCACGTTGGCACAGTCAACCGAGAATGTGAGAGATTTCGACTCAGGTCCTTAACAGATGATCAATTCAAAGCCTTGATTCTCATATGCAGTCTCCAATCTCCTCGTTTCACAGATATCCGAACTCGACTGCTCAATCAGCTAGAACAAAATCCCAAGTTAACATTACATGACATAGCTGATGAATATCAACGGCTGATTAATCTGCAGAAAGACACACACTTGGTCGAATCAACACCTTCGAGAAGCTCTGATATTCGTGCATTACGCAAGAGCAAAAATCTCTCATCAGCTACTCCTGACCCACCTTCTCTTAATGTTCCGCGGAAATCTATACATACTCGTCCAACTTCACAAAATACTGCAAAGAAGACCCCACCATCACCATGCTGGCATTGTGGCGCGTGGCACTTTGTAAAGTCTTGTCCATACAAAAATCATCGTTGCAGCAAGTGCAAAATCATCGGTCATAAAAATGGTTTTTGTCAGCCACGCAAACCCAGATGTCAAAATCCAGCAAAAGCTCAACAAAATGTTGGTCCTAAATCCCCCAAAAAGTCATTGAGTCTACGCGCAACCCGTCAAGTCACAACACCAGCTATGCGGAAATATCTTGATCTTCAGATGAATGGTCATGATACACGTCTGCAGCTAGATACCGCCTCTGATATTACTGTTATATCAGAGAAACTTTGGAATTATATTGGCAGACCACCTATCACCAATACTTCCCAGTCTCTTCTCAGCGCCTGTGGTGGGCGGCTCAAACTAATTGGTGAACTCAAATGTTCTGTTTCCTTCCGCAATACCAAATTCACAGGAATTTGTTACGTCACCAAGAATGATTTAAATCTTTTGGGACTTGATTGGTTCGATCGTTTGCATCTGGCTGATGTCCCACTAAATTCTCTATGCAATGCAGTCAAGAAGCATAAAATGTTAGACAATTCCGGACGGAGCCGAAGCCGCAAACCCAACAATCAGACGAAACGACAGGCGTCAACAACAAGCCCAAAGGTCCCAGATAAACCCCCAGGTAAACATCCTACTAATCATCCATCTTCTCAAAAGGGGAGGTGATATGTATCCACATATATATATTTATGTGTGTGTGCATGTTGGTCTCTCTTTCTGTTTGCTCGGTTAGTCTGTGACCACTTCACTTGTATGGACTTGTCTCCTTTAATAATGTGTATTCTCCTTATATTATATTATATATAATATGAGTGTTTGTTGACAGTCCGTTGCTTGGTGACATATATCCATATATGTTTGTTGGCATGTCTGCTATATTCGCTATGTATAATTGGATCGACACTCCATTATAATTAGCCATTCATGTTAAGACTGTCTAATGATTTTTCCCACGCTTGTCTGAATTATTTATATATATTCGCATTCACAATTTGTGTGAACTACTTTACAACTACTTTACTTACTTACCACTTTGGTGTGAGACCATTTATTTTCGTCTCCTTGTGTTTGGACAATAGAAGTATCATCGCAAACCTAGTGGTCTTCTGATTTCCGCCTTCTCGCGTCAGGACTATTAGTTTCTCGACCAGTCCATAACAATAATTTAGCGACGAGTACATAACAATTTGGCGACGGGGAAAACTAGAACATAACAATTTGGCGACGGGGAAAACTATAACATAACATGAAGCCCTATGTTCTATTCAGGACCCAAGGGAATCATACTATTATTAATAATAGTATTCTCTCCAAGTTTGACCACGGATCTGTATCAATTAGAAAAGCACTGAGAACTAGCAGGGAGTACTGGGCAGCTGTTTCGTTGTAATTTGGGACTCATTGGCAGTACGCACTCCCACAGGAGTTCGAACCGAGGACGTTCTACTTACAAGTTTTATTTACTAGTCGAGAATTTAATAGTCCTGACGCAAGAAAGACGGAAATCAGAAGACCACTAGGTTTGCGATGATACTTCTATTTTCCAAAACACAAGGAGAATCAATGTCACACAAGTGTGTGAGAGCAAAAATATGAATGTCCGAACAAGTGTGTGAGCGAATATTCAAAATGAACAAATCAATAGACAGTCTTAACATGATTGGCTAATTATAATGGAATATCGATCCATATATACCTAGCAAATATAACACTGTCAAACACACATATTATATGGATATATATCACAAGGAAAGCTCATAGACAGTCAAGTCACTGGGATCCGACTCAATAGCCAGTCCATAAATTCTAACTTCGACCAGTTCGGGATTTTAGCTTGCCTTGAAACTGGAAGGTCATGAGTTCGAACCCCTACGGTGGGCACATACTGCTGATGAGACCCAAACTACAACGAAACAGCTGTCCAGTGCTCCTTGCTGGTTCTCAATGGTTCTCTAACTAATATCAATTCATGGTCACACTTTAAAAATAAATCGAATCCCCATAAACCAACTCTTGAAAATAATAATAATATTGGTATAAAGAAATAACGAAATGAAGTAGGGGGGAAAGTATATTAAAAACAAGGCACACGATACAATAAAAAGTTTATCATATTGAATTTTACTTACTTGCTATGCCCGCCAGTTAATTTACGTAGATATGCATGAAATGACATATATTTCACAGGTGGATCTAAATGCCCTAAATACTCCGAATCAAAAGGCTGAAGAGGAAAACAAAAATAAAACAGCAACAGAAATTTCAGACAACTGAACCCCGTATGCTAATAAATCTTAAATAGTGTTTTAAATTATAAACATGAAGTTTATCTGAAAAAATATATACTTTCATGTATTTACGCATTGACAACATTTTTCGAACAATATGATCATCACAAATACACACAATGCAGAGTCTTCTGAACACAATTTGAGGAGCAACAATCTTCGAATGTTTCTCATGCTATCTGATTGATCCCCCGTCAACTTTAAGATGATCGGTGCTAAAGCACTGGACTACATCGACTACTACCTTAAAGATAGGGAGGGAGTGAACTGGTTGGGATGTCGAACTAACCAGCACCAGCGGGCTGATCGCTGACAGAATTCTCAGCATGGATACAGAAGGTTCGTTTGACATATACCAATCAACTTACGCCATCTCTGGCTTAGTTGACATGATATCCGGCTGGCTATCAACCAAAGAGCGTGTGTACTGCTCAGCAGTTCCCTTTGACCTTTATCAGTGGCTGTGAGACACGGCAATTGAAAGTGGAACATATGAAAAGCCTGGATACCTGTCTTTCACCATAAATGAAAGGGCTAAGGTGAGCAATATTGAGGTTAGGCATCAGTCGAGTGATAGGTAAACAAGCAAACACAATCAACGGGATTTTGAAGTGACACCGGTTGAGATGGTTAGGACATATGTTACTCGTGCCTAGCATAACCATCGCCTTCCTCGACCGACCGGAAATCTTAGCTGACTAACACAGGATGGATCAGGTTACAAAAGACTTAGCTAGCGGTGGAAAAACCAAAACGCGGCCTCATCAGTCAATGAAATCCATAACAGTTAGCTTCAGCCACCCAACCAGCCAGTCACGTAAGGAGGTGTAGACTTCCTGACTGACTGGTTCAGGTCCTCGGGATGATGAGAACCAATGAAGGCTGGAGACTATTGGTAATATGGCTCAAAATAACCGTTCTCAATGGCTGGCGAAGATGCATTCACTCTTTGTGATTTATCATATCCAATAAAACTCTAATGTTGTCCCATAATACTATTATCTTTGCCTCACACTTATTTATAAGACCCATACATAATAATTACATAGTGAGATATTTTGAGCAGAGATACAAACTGTAGTCCCTTCGTTACAGTGCCCAACTTCAAACCACTGGGTTAAGAGTTAGAACAACGCTTCAGCTAGTGGGGTTCAACCGCCAGTTAGCATCATTAGGATTGTGGAGTTATGGCTAATTGGCTTAAGCACTCAACTTCTAACCAAAAGGTCACGGGCGCTAATCCCTCTAAGCCTAATTAAATCTTGGCAACTGGGTATTATCATCAGTCTACACACAATCACACACACACACACACACACACAAGTGTGATTTATCGCCAACCTGTATTGATGAAATGCAAGTTGTTCTCGGTTAACTCCAAACAAAACTTACTAGGAATAGTGAATGTAGCTAACAAAATCACTCTGAATCTTAATACTTCGCTTAATATCACGCCTAGAAGACAAAAAAGCATTCGCTTCCTTGAAATGAGAAAAGGAGGCTGAATGAAAGAAATAATCATTCACATAAGGGCTTACCTCAAGGGGAACACAATGAATGCATTGCCCAGATACAGAATGATGACACCTAGAAGAAAAAAAAGGTAGGCAAGTCAGCAAGTAATCAAATGCGTAAGTGTTATAACAGTAGTAGTGATGCGAATACTGAAATTTGTGATTTTATTACTGCTGTTACTTTTCAACACAACACAACATAACACAGCAATAACACACGTGGCCGAAATGTTGTGAATGGGGGACTACAACGTACGATCACTCTATACTAATAATGACCTTAGAAGGTTGGAGGCAATTTCCAGAAAGGTTTGTCTAACCCAGGTTTCCTACTTGTTGGCACTTGTCAGCATGGTATATCTGCAGTCGTGAAGGAACTCATGTCTATTCTAGGATTTAAATCCACACTGCCTAACGTTACATTCAGAAACTTTGTCAGTGAGCTGTTTCGGCTTGCAATTGGTCTCCTGAATGAGTATAATAAGGACATTGATCCCCAGGGACTACTAACCAATGTATCATGCATCTAGCGCCCTTGGTATTGATGTTGACGAGTGGCAACAAGCCATAAAAACCTAGGTCATGGAGAACTTCCTGAAAATTTTCTCGGGCCACCAAACGTCAATCCAAAGTCCACCACAATGTCAAGCCATCTAGTTTGATGACCATATGGCAAACTTAACTGAGAATTCAATCTGCATTAACATCACAAGGACTGGAGGCATAACACCAGTTATTACCTAGCGTCCAATGAAACGGTAATATCACTAGAGATTATAACTATTTATTTAGCTATTTTATGATAACCACTAAGTTTCTAGTTTATAGCATGAAATTCAGGTTTTTGATCGTTAAGTACATATCACCTCCTGGTTTAACAGTAAAATATAAAAAATTATTATTTACTAAAATTCCATACAATACTGTGAGTGTATCTCAATCTCAGATGAAGATTTGAAGGATATCTCTCATATTGGAAAACTATCTTACTAACCACCTTACCTTAAGAAAGCTAATTTGTACAGGATACATAGACGTGATATATTAGTATGGAGGAATCAAACTTTGAATCAATTCTTCAAAGCTCTCCAAAATGAAAGTCGAGATATAAATATTGAGTAGTGCAGATATGACTCAACAATTTAAGCTGTCAACTACAAATGAAAGGAGTCTTGGATTTGAACCCTACACAACCTACTTTATGGCCAGTACGAGTTGAAGACATGAAAAGGTTAACTGCTTTCGATCATAGATGTCTGCGATCTCTTTCTCACGTTAGGTGGTTTCATAAGGTAAGTAATACTGACGTTAGGCGTAGTGTTGGGCAAACAGGGAAAATCAATCGACGAGGCTATAAAGTTACATAGATTGAGATGGCTAGGTCACGTGCTGCGAATGCCTAACCATCACCTCCCCCGACGGGCATTGCTAGCTGATATAGGTGCAGGTTGGAAAAGAGTAATTGGTGGCCAAACAAAAACATGGCCTCATCAATCCATGAAATCCTTGACAGTTAAAATGAATCAGGTAAGGAGATGAAGACTTCCGGGTTGGGGCCCTCGGGACTCTAGGAATCAATGGCCGGAGACAATAGGTGATATGGCTCAAAATCGTTGTCAATGACAGCGCAGATGTATTCAGTCTCTGTAATCTTTCATATTTCTTTCTACCATTACCCATTCTGTTTCGCTCTTATACCTGTCAAACTCTATTGATTCTCTCCACTCATCTTCTTGTCTACCTTTGTGTGCTACTTGGAACGTGGCAACTCGAAGTGCTGCACTTGGGTGCCAAGTTCTATGTTGAATCCAGACAGACAACCTACTTTAGCCTGGTCAAATGAGTAGTATCATTAGCTCTGGCAAAATAACTATGTGACTCATAGTTTGATGCATGAAATATCTACTCCACGTAACTGAGTTAATATTAATAATTGTTATTATTACTACTATTACCACTTTATTAGAAGCAACAATAATTATATGGGTTGGAATTTACAGCAGTCTACATATCGCAGAACTTCATCTCCTTTTATAAATGAATAAATAAATAAAACAGTAAGAATCATGGTTAAACTAATAAGACAGAAGTTGATAAAGGAAGAGTACATGCAATACTGATGCCTGGTAATAAGTTACTGTTTATTTACAGATTACAGATAACGTAAGCTTATAAGCTCTTTTCTCACATTTGTCTTCTTTCACACAACATCCATGCTATTAGCGATATGATTGAATTTCATATTTAACCGTACGACCACAAATTCTTATAGAATTTCTCATTTCAACCGAAAAGATATAAAGGGAGAAAGTCACGAATAGCCAAAATAGGATGTTTAGTATCCCAAAAGATGACCACTAGTCAATTCCTTGTAAGAACTGAAATCCCAATAACCCTGTTTATAGTCTTCAAAGTCCTACGTATTATAACATAGTCCTTCTTGAGAAATCAAGGGAAGAATAACAGAGTGAGGTACAATAAAGAAGAATAGACAGGATGCATGAATCGATAGATTATAAGAGAAGAGGTGGAGTTATGCCAAGAAGTCTCAACTTTCTTATGTGATAGGTCAAACGAAAGGTTTTCCTAAAAATAAACAAGATGTGAGATGAGCAACAAAGTTTCGATTTGTTCCCCACCACAGTTCCGTTAATATTACAAGAATGATGGGACTGAATTAGTCCACACGAGTCTTATTTTTGCCTGAAATTAATACAAACCGTCTGATATTTAGAGGGGTCCAGTTTAAGATCAGTGATTAATTTCAGATAGAAAACTCTTCATACTAGAACAAGCTAATGCCGAAACAACTGAGACAGAAATTGTCCGATACGCATATTTAGCGAGTATGGCTTTAAGAGAATACGGTAAGTTATGTGAAAAAGAATAAAGTAGAAGTAAAGAAAGTACAGCACAATAAGGTACATCATTTCCGTAAGTAAAGAAGTCGAGAGCTCCCCACTAGAAACATATGATGACACATAGCAACACAGGTTCAAAATCTACTATAAATATTATGATTTGACTAGGCAAACGATGTTATTATCAACGTTCACACAGTAAGTGTGGTCAACTGTTTATTGATTGTAGATGAACTTGACTGTTAATCCACATTCTGTGCTTCTATACAACCTGACCACCTAGAATTTTTTATAACTAAATGAAGATATAATCCAAGTCAGTTACACTCCAACAGACTGCAGTTCGGATAGACAAAAGGATGACTTCTGCCAGAAACCGTATAGTTTGCTGCAAAAAGCAAAGTGCTCAGATATAGTTGCTTTAGCGGGCGACTTCAATACCCAAGTACGGAAGTTTTCCAAGACTGAGAAGTATGTAGGTGGTACGTATGGAGTTCCCTGTCGACAAACCGACAACAGTGATCGTCTTCTACAGTTCCGTTCAGATAATCATCAGTTCCTAGTCAGCACTAACCCTGGGCACAAGGACATTGCGTAACTTGTCGACCTTCATCACCAAATCAACGATGGACTCAGAAAGATCACATAGCGATAGGGTATCGTTGGCGAGGGTCAGTAGAAGACTGGCGTTCCTTCTGGAATACGTGCGTGGACTCCGATTACTCCCTGGTTCGCGCACGTTTATGCTTACGACTAAACGAACACAGAAAACTGTTGCAGCGCAACCCAACTAGATCAAGACACTGAGTCCCTATTTAAGCAAGAAATAACAAAACGAGGATTTGAGACCGACAGCAAGACTCCTCATGAGAAGCCTGGCACAACATACAGTTAGCTGTAGACAAAGCTGTAAAGGCTGTTACTAACGTAAAACCAAAAGTCAATAAGAGCCAGTGAATTTCTACTACCTCATCCGAACTGATTAAGGCAAGAAGACTGATTCCGGCGAGCTCCAAATATGACGAGGAGTGAAAGCTGCTCAAAAAAAAACTAACAAGAAGTCTGCGACGACTGTGAACAGTGGTGGGTGACAAAAGCGAAAGAGATGGAAAAGGCATTGGCGACTGGTAACATCAGACAAATATTTAGACTTATCAGGGGAACAGGTGAAAATCGATAAAGTTGTGAAGTTAGACCAATTGAGATGGTTAGGACATATGTTACTCGTGCCTAGCATAACCATCGCCTTCCTCGACCGACCGGAAATCTTAGCTGACTAACACAGGATGGATCAGGTTACAAAAGACTTAGCTAGCGGTGGAAAAACCAAAACGCGGCCTCATCAGTCAATGAAATCCATAACAGTTAGCTTCAGCCACCCAACCAGCCAGTCACGTAAGGAGGTGTAGACTTCCTGACTGACTGGTTCAGGTCCTCGGGATGATGAGAACCAATGAAGGCTGGAGACTATTGGTAATATGGCTCAAAATAACCGTTCTCAATGGCTGGCGAAGATGCATTCACTCTTTGTGATTTATCATATCCAATAAAACTCTAATGTTGTCCCATAATAATATTCTCTTTGCCTCAAACTTCTGTTTATTATCTGTCTTTTGAACCTGTCTTTACTCTTTTCTCTTGCTTTGTGTGCTGAAAGGAGTGTGGTAACTCGAACTGCTGAACATTTGTGCAAAGTTCTACGTTGAAACCAGTCAATCATGGATTGATTGAATATTTTGATCATCTCTATATCTCTATTCCAACCTACTTCCAAGTCAGCTAACATTTCTCGATGAGGAAGGCGGCATGTCAGCATCAATGACACGTATCCATGTCACCTCAATCGATGTAACTGCAACCTCATAGATTGACTCCTCTACCGCACCTAACATTCTACGTTTAACTTCAATATAACTTACTATATTATTTAACAAAAAAGTGAAACAAGATGTAAATGCCTGTAGTTTTTGAAAAGTAGCCTTTCACATCCATCACTTTCAATGCCCATGTCTCACAGACTTTTCTTACAAGAATACAAGTTATTGTCGGTCATACGTAGAAGTCACAACAACCTGAATTTAAAATACTACCTAACAATTCCTGCTCTTTCAGGTTGAAAATGTCTTTCTGTCACCAAACATTTATCAAAGAAAATGTCTTTGGTAAAACAGAAACTGCCTGGTGCTATGCACAGAAATCAATATAAATAAAATACAAAAACTCAACTTTTAAGAGCTTACAATTGTTCATTTCTTTTCCGGTGTATACGACCATCCATTTTTGCCATTTCTTGATCAACTTTATCCTCTACTATCCACGAAGAAGACCATTTACGATTGTCCGGTGAATCAATGTCGTTTGTTTGCTACATGTACAACAGATTTAAATAGTTACATGAGTACTTTTGTATATTCCAAAAGAGTTTGGCGTAGAAATAAAGTCCATAAGGTTTATGAACTAGTAAAATTAATGCTTCTTATAGCTAATTTTTAATTTAGACACCACTTATGAGTAATCGTATCACTCCTCCTTGCCCTTATTACTTAATAATGGACTACTAAACGTTTTTGGTAAACATAAATACGACTGTATACCCTCTGAAGACGATTCCATCTACACAGGAAACTTTCTGTACTAAGTTGTCTTTGAATATCGTAATTCATATTCCTATTAGCATGCACTCGTTAGTAAATTCAAGCGATAATTCCACGACGCACACTAGTCTTCCTGTCAAGAAAGATGGATGATTACGAGTTAGGAGTGATGTTGTATGGCTACGATTAAGGAGAAGATTAACATAAACAGGATGTGATTATTTGACTGAAGAGTTTTTAAAACCGTGGACTCATGTATGTCAAAAGTGGAGTTTCAGTCTATTCGTGTCTATTGATTTTTGATACACACTGTTGTAATTTGTAAAAAAAGGTTTAATATCTACTCGTTTATTTAATTTTCGCAGTCATTGGTATAAAATTCAGGTTTTGAATTGGTCTTGAATATATTTCTTATTCTATCTGCGAGAATTACTTCACGGTTATGTTATGGAAGTAACTCAATAACGTAGCTGGTGAAAATGTCGCAGGAAGGTCAGTTTTTTCACAATGAAAGAGTGAAGTTTCAATAAACCTAAACGTGAGAGAAACGCTGGAAATAGCAACTTATCCTAGGTACCTAGAGAATCATTGTGTTAATAGTGTGTCGAATGAACCTGTTAAAACCTACAGTGAAGGTAAGTATAGAATGCCATACTACAAATATAACAGTTGCTAATACCACCAGTGAAAAAAGCCTCTTGGTTTGTAAGATACAATATTGTGATTGGACACTTTTAATTGTAATGAATATTTAGGTAGAACCAGTTGAATAAGCATGTAATATATGTAATTATTGACCACTACAATGCATCTTCGTGAGACTGGACGTAGAATGCACAGAAAAACCTTAATGCAAAAAAGGGAGTCGGGCATCTAACTAAATCACATGTGACACAAAGTGAATTATCCTGCAAACCAGTTGATTCAAATTCAAATTATAAGGATAGAACGCTCTTGTCACGTATGTTAATCTTTGCGATAAATATATATATATATATATATATATATATATATATATATATATATATATATATATATATGTCCAGAGGTCTAGTTTCTCTTTGAAGGCGTTCACCGATGGAGCTGTTACTGCTGAACCAGGTAAGGAGTTCCAATCATTGACCACTCAGTGAGAGAATCTAAATTCCACACGTATTTTGTTCGACCTCTGTCTGAGTATCTTTTTGTGGTCAACTCGTAAATGTATCCTAGAGGGAGAGAAAAGATTTCAATGGTCAATCCCTAAAAACACTCTTGAATATACAGTAAGTCAAAATTAGGTCGCCTCTCCTCCTTTGATAAGATAATAGGAAGAGATTTAAATGCTCCATCCTCATATCATAAGGACGGTATGAGATACCACTAACTAATTTGGTTCCTACCCTATGTACTCTTTCTAGGATGTGCCTCCTTTTTGAATCATGGGCATCGCCTGTATGTAGTATTCTAGATGAGGTCTGACATGTTGGATAGACTACTCGGAACCTACAATCGTCAAATCATTTTAAAGCCCTTCGAAATGCGTTAGCTGCAGCTCCATTACAATTTGCTGCTGTTTTCAAGCCATGGCTAACAATAATTTTAAAGTCCTTTTATCCCTTAACATCTGGCAGTTTTGTGTCTCCCAGGGAATACAACGTGTAAGACCTCTGACCTGGGTGCATTACCGCGTTTTCCTTGGAATTAATTCCCAGACTCCAGAGGCTACCCCACTCAGCTTATTATAAATTTTGTTCTAATATGAACAAAGTCTACGAATTCAAAGAGGGTACCGAATAAAACCAGTCATGAAAAACACAGAGGACTGTGAAAACCTAAACAGACAATCACGAAGGTAAATACATAGCACCATATACTTACAGCTGATACACTTGTGTTGTCACCAACATAATCCAAGTCATTAGAAACTTTTTGCTTCTCTTTGTCGACAAAATCCAACAAGAAGAGTAGGTCACCATGCCTGCAAATAAATTGATTCCAAAAAACAGAAGTCATTACTTTAAACCAAGTTTCGAAATACGTGCATTCGACCGTGCATTCAATCGTTCAGTGTGACTATGGGTACGCGAGAGGCACCAACCATCGTTTCTATTTATCCCAAACCGCTCGCAAACCAAGCTTATAAATTTATCATAACTTTCAGATTCAGCCAATTCTATTTTCTTTGTCCCATTTGGTGACTGGACACGAATAATCATTGGAATTTAAATAACGCAGATAGATGTAGCGCAGAACTCTAAGAAGGCGCTGTTAAATAGGCGAAAATAGGTTGAGGATATTATACTAGAAGCCTATTGCAATGGCTGACATCACGCTTTTTAGACTGTTTTCATTTCCACGCATGCCACTTGCTCTTCAAAATGAAGTACAAACATTCTAACGCTGGAATTCGCAGTAGGCATTTCATAGGTTGCCTAAAAACGTTATTCAGATTTCAGATTTCAGATTTATTGGTTGAGGATAGAAGGCTTGCAGCCTATGTTAATCCTTTTCTAGTAGATTTCTGTGGTTGTCCAAACCCTTCTTGAACGAATCAATTGAGGTTGCAGACACCACTTCTTCTGGGAGTCGGTTCCAAGAGTTTATGACTCGATGTGAGAACCAGTACTCAACAGCAATATGATTTCTCCTTGGCTTTTGAACTCTCCTGCTATGTCCTCTAAGGTGTTCCGACCTGGTGGGAAGGAAAAGAGAGAATAGGTCAGGTCCGTAGTCATTATTTAAAATTTTAAACATTGTGATTAAATCTCCTCTCTGCCTACGGTATGACAGTGAGAAGAGATTTAAACTATCTAGTCTTTCCTCATATGATAAGTTAGCTATGCCGTGAACCATACGTGTTGCCTTCCTTTGAACACTTTCTAGAATGTGTGAATCCCCTTTTAGACACGGACTGGCGGCCTGGATGCAGTTTTCCAGTCTTGACCTAACCAGAGATGTGTATAAGGAGGTGAACATATCTCTGGTAATTCTTGTAAAGGCTCTGCGAATCGCCCATAAGGACCTGAAACTACGTGCAGCCACCGCGCGACAGTGTGCTGTAGTTTTTAAGTCGTGGCTAACTATGACACCTAAGTCCAAGTGAGTCTGAACTGATGGAAGTGTTATTCCCTCTAGTTCGTAGGAGCTCGTGCTTGCTTGTCCAATGCGCATGGTTGCACATTTTGCCACGTTGATCGGGAGCATCCATTCAACAGACCACTCCGACAGTTTGTTGAGGTCGTCTTGCAAGGTGGACGTATCACTGTTGCCCTTCAGCTCCCTCCAAATTTTTAAGTCATCTGCGTATAGGACCATAGGGGAGTCGGTGAGCAGAGGTAACTCATTGATATACAGAATAAAAAGGAGAGGACCGAGAACCGTGCCTTGTGGCACTCCGCTACTTACTGCTGTCCAGGAGGAGAGTTTTGAGTTGATCCTAACCCTCTGCCTCCTATCTATGAGGAATTCCCTGAGCCAGTCTAGTAGTCTGCCTTTGATACCAAGACTTTCCAATTTCATGAGTAGTCTTTTGTGAGGTACTTTATCAAAGGCTTTACTGAAGTCTATGAAGACGACGTCAACGGGTCTTCTGTCATCCTTTGATTTAACCCAGCTTTCTCTTGCAGTCAGGAGATTTGACAGGCATGAGAGGTTCCTCCGGAAGCCATGCTGTGCTCCAGATAACAAGCTGCTATTTTCCAGATAAGCCATGATGCTTTTCTTGATAATTCTTTCCAGTGTCTTGATTAAAGTGCTGGTGAGACTGATAGGCCTGTAATTTGAAGGGCTTTGTCTTGATCCTCCTTTGTGTATGGGGGTTACTATGGCGTCTTTCCAATCACGTGGCAACACTCCATTTTGGAGAGATAGCTTGAAGATCGTGGTCAAGGGGCCGGCTATGTGGGCTGATAGCTCCTTGAGAAGCCTTGGATGAAGACTGTCAGGACCCATTGATTTTCCTGCATCTAGTTTCATTAAGAAGTTGAGCACGATGCCTTGGTCGATGTCAACGGAATCTATCCCATGTTCTTCTGATGCAGCCAGAGCTGATCCTATAGGCAGTGATGACTCCTGAGTGAAGACTTGGGAGAAGTAGTTTGCCATTGCTTCTGCTTTTTCTTGATCTTCTTCGATTGTATCTTTGTCAATAATCAGGTTTGGGACACCATTGGGTGTTTTATTCCTGAAATTCAAGTACGAGAAAATTTTCTTAGGTTGTGCCTTTGCATTTTGGGCCAGGTGTGTCTCGAACTTCATCCTTGATTGGCGGATTTCTGCGATAGCTTTATTTCTAGCAGTAGTATATAATTCCCTGGTCTCAGAAGTCTCAAGTGTTGCAAACAGGTTCCAACATTTGCGTTTACGTCTGAGTAACTTACGAATCTCCCGGTTTATCCAAGGGGGGGAATGTTTCCGACCCTTTGGAACAGACCAAGGGATGAAGGGTACAGTTACTTGGGCGTAAAGTTGCTTAAATTGGTTCCATGCGGCTTCTACTTGGGACTCTGGATTGATGTACCAGTTTACTGAGTTGGCTGCTGAGACGATCGCATTTATGTCAGCTTTCCAAACGTTTGGTCGAGCTGGGGTTTTGGCCCTTGCTGCCGTTGCTGTGAACTTGAAAGTGAGCACAGCATGGTCACTTCTTCCTAACGGAGGAAGATGTTGTATGAGATCCACATCCTCACCGTGTGAGAACACTAGGTCCAGAGTTGATGAGGAGTGCTGTGAGTCATAGCGCGTGGGCTTAATGATATGTTGGACTAGGGCTAGCGATATACTAGATTCTAGCAGTTTATGGTCAAAGGAGTTGACTGAAGATGGAGTTGTTAGGCTCGACCAGTCAACTGTTGGGGCGTTGAAGTCACCGACTACGAGACTTCGACATTTTGAAGTCCAGGAGCCTAGCTTCTCTATTAGGAAGTCGTCTGCACTGCAGTCAGGACTGCGGTACACAGCAATGAGGTCAATGTCTTGGCCTATGCATTTAAGTCTGCAGCGTAGAAGTTCGCACGACTCACTTTCGTGGGCGAGTGCTTCGATACTACGCACGGTTAAGCCTTTCTTGAGGTAGATGACTACGCCCCCTCCTTTGCGGTTTAGTCGGTCTACCCTGTGCACTTCGAAGTTTGGCAGGTTAACTTCGTTGTCAGTGACATCGGGTGTGAGCCATGTCTCTGTGATAATAATTACATCCGGGTTTCCGGTTTCTATCATGTTTGCCAGCTCAGTCCTTTTATTTAACAGGCTGCGGGCGTTTGTGTAGCAGACTGTTAATTCAGATTGGTGCTTCCCCGGCCCACCCACAGAGGTTTCGGGATCATTAAACTGCGAACTCGGACAACCCGAAAACCCTTAATCTTAAGGTTCTTCTCACCGTTCCGGCGTCGCTCACTTAATTCTAGTGCCGCAGCCTGTCTTTTGACACGGTCTGCCAGGCTTAAGTCAGCGCGGACATATATCCCTGATCCTTTGAGAATATGAGAGTTGCTTAGAATAGCGTCCCTCTCCGCTTTAGAGTTTAGTACGACTTTGAGGAGACGTACAGGTTCACTTACTGTAGGGTCAGGCTTTTGACCTATTCTGTATACGCTGTGTATAGTAATGCCTGATACTGTTTGTGGCAGTAGCTTGTCTAAGAGGGACTTGACCACGAACGTGACACGACGGAGTACCAAATGGTGGGGATGCTTGATCGAAAGCCTTCAGCTAAACAAGTCGACTTAAACAGTGATGGTCAGCCTCCAATGTTCAGTGATGATTGCTGTGGTCAATAATTTTGGGGAGTTATTTACCGCTAAACCCTCATCTATAGGAATGCCACTTTATGTTTAGATACTGTAACTCTTAAAAACGTGGTAGTATCACATAACCGCCGACAGTAGTACATTCTAGAGTCACGTGTGCATAAGTTGAAGAAGTTGTCGAAACAGTACTGTTACACCTAGGAACCATCATCATTTCATTCGGTCTATGAGTCCGTGAATCTATTAAGTGGTTACACTCTCAGAATGACCTCAAAGGAGAACTAGACGCGCTTAGAAGTACTTTCAACGCTTATATTTTAACGGTACTTCTTAAACACGAATGAAGTCGACAAGAGACATCCCTTACTTCACAACAAAGTTACCTATAATAACCCTGCCAACCTTTGTGAACATTTCAGTGAGTGGCGAGGGAATTTCAGTCTACAAACACCCTCCCGGTGAGACTGCACCCTTATCAGATTACGTCTCAGGGAGCATCGTGTTCACAAGTTAGGTAATGGATCACGTCTTTAGATGCCTTAGACCCTCAAGTGGCTAGGGACTGGGCTGCCTGGCTCCAATAATGCTTATAAACAGTGGATGTGATATTCCTCTTCTGCTTTTGGTTTTATTCTCCGTATTTATGGACACTAGCACTTGCTCCAATGGATGAAAAACTGGCTTTATAGTATCATGCTATAAATCCAGGGATAAAGCAAACGTTGGCAGTTATAAACCCATAAACATGACCCTGGTTATCTTGCAGGTTATGAAGAAAGTTGCTAGAGATCAATTGCCAGATTATCTACTATGTGAAGATCTTGTTACGATGTCTCGATACGGATTTCGCAAATATAGGACTTGCACTATTTGCGCTTTGACTTTTCCGAATGCATCACTAGTAGTCTCGAAGCACGTAAACTGGTAGCTGCTCTCCACTTCGATATATCTAGGGTGTTTGACATGGTATCTCATAGTATTCTGTTTGAGAAGCCGTACTCATGTGCATTTCGCAATCCATTACTTAACTGGCTGAAGTAATTTATTAATGACACAGGGCAAATAACTGAAATGGAAACGTTTTGTCTTCCCTTAGCAGGTTCACAAATGGGGTTGTACCGTATAGCGTCCTAGGGCCACTAATACTTAAGGTCTACATTATTAGCATTTATAACTTTCCGACCTCACGTAGAATATTCATATACCCTAACAACCTTAAAGTCATTGGCTCCTGCCACAGTGATGAACTGGACGAACTGATGGGTGATATTCGCCTGGAGCACAATAGTCCCGCATTACTGTATGCTAAGTCCTGTCTGAAGTGTAACACTGGTGGATGCAGTTGAATTTATATTGGCAACAGTACTCTTAACTTTTGAAGTAAATAGTCAAAGTCATCTAGATGTGACCAAGTCATAGATGACGGGTTTAGACATCTATTAATTTAACGTTCTCAGAACAAACTGATTGCAATAGATCTGAAACATGTGGGCTTCTGAGATGTATGTTTCGCAATTTTTTGTTGTTGTGAAACAAGGGTTTTATTATACAAAGTATGCGTTCTGCCTATTTTAAAATACTACCAGTTTACTCATACAAAAGAAGGATTGGTTGACAAGCTTAAATTCGAGGGAGTGCATCAACAATTTACTTTAACAGCTCTTAGTTCAAAATTCAGTTTACAGTTTACAGTTTACAATTTATTTAGGATAGTAGGCTATATGCCTGTGTTAATCCTTTCGATTTATTTCATACAGGAGGTCCAATCTCGCCTTGAATGAATCAACGGATGGCGCTGATACGACATGTTCCGGTAGGGAGTTCCAATGGTTCACAATTCGATGCGAAAAACGGATTTCCAGACGCAGACGATTCGACCGTGGTTTTTGAACCTTGAGGTGATGTCCTCGCAATTGGTTGGTGCTAGAAGGAAGAAATAATTTAGATAAATTAGCTCCAAAATCATTTCTTAGGATACGGTATGCTAGTATTAGGTCACCCCTAAGTCGTCTGTATGACAGTGGAAATAAACCCAGTCGACTTAACCTCTCCTCATATGACAGGGTTGAGAAACCCTTTATTAGCTTAGTTCCTACTCTTTGCACCCTTTCTAATAAGTCAATTTCGTATTTGAAACACGGGCCCTGATTACTCTGAGCATTGCAGAAGACTGAAATATGAACCACTCTGGAAAAGACGTCCTAAGCGAAGCCTTATTTTCTACTAAGAATTAACTAATCTTCTTTTGCACGCCTTCAGACATATAACTGAATCTACTTTTGTAATCAGCTACTATCCTGTAAGTCACAACAACCGTGCCGCTATAAACTATTGTCACACTTACGTGAGCTCCAGCTTCTTGAACTAGTATTCATTCATTTGGAGTTATGAAAACACACTCCCTGTCTTCATCTTGTCACTTACTAGACTCCCAAAAGATGTCGATACTTCCTCTCCTCTGGCTCCTATACATTCTTTTTCATCACGCAGAGATGTGACTGGTCGACTGTGTGCATGGCTGCATCTGCCACACTTTGTACTTACCAGAGAAAGGACTGTATTGAACAGGAACTTCTCTCTCCCTATCATAGTATACTTTACAATTAGAACTCTGTCCATATCTGGGCAGGTTTGGTTTGACGACCCATAGATTCTCTTCAGTGATTAAACCTGATACATAATCCAAATGCAAATGTAGGATACACCGTCAAAAAATTATGCTATTCTTCGTCGTTCATCAAACATGAAGCCATCGAATTGTTGGACTAACCTCGGATGGGCTTGTAAGTGTGAGTGTCAGGACAGAAGACAAAGGCCAGGCGACAGATTGTTTATCGAGAAAATCGAGACAGACTAATGCAAGTACTCAAGGTAGTAAGGTCAGAAACTGTCAATTGTTCAGATCGGAAAAGATCGTGACCCTAGCGCTGCTGACAGTAGAAAGGTGGTTGCACTCAATACTATGTGTGGTAACCGATTCGAAAATATCAGAAAACAGCTTGGCGACTTGAAGATTGTTTGTTTCTTCACTAAAAACGAACCAGCCCATTCAATTTTTATCAACATTGAAATAAGAGCATACATGAATTCTTGCCTTCGTTACAATCCGTCAGCGCATATTGACTTTTACAGACAACTCTGGTGTACACATATATCTCCCAGAAAGACATTATTCGTGGAAATAAGAACAAATAGTTCAGAGATGAATCTCTTTGCTGCCAATCCATCCACTTAGCTGTACAATTTTAAATGCGTACTTATTTTTTGGACGTGTGTAAACTAGGTTTCGCAAACAAGAATAAAATTAAGTTTCCGTTGAAGTCTATCTACTTCATCAAAATATCTCAAAAGTCTAGATAAATGATCGAAGCTGTAACTTCAGTGTCTCAGGTGATGACGAATTCGTTCAAAGTTATCTACAAAGTCAAACGAAGTCTTCCTGAAACGTTAAGTTTCCGTACACTTTGCATTGCAGAGGTCTTAGCGATTAAGATGCATAACCCTGGTCTGTTATCATTGAAGAAACTTCTTCATCTCCTCCCCCTACCTTGAGTATAATTCCAGGTAAAAGTCTATCACCATGTTGTGATTATAATACTATTTTATGCATTTGTCATGTGACATTTACTATCACACCTTTCTTAACTAACCTTCTATTTACTTTCTTTACCTACCACATGATTATTCTTGATACTTGTCTGCGTTCTCTTTCATTAACATTCGATGATTTCAGATCATTTTCATGTAACCTAGACCTAATAATCTTGACGCCCTAGTTACAGTTTGACAAGTCATCACACTTTCGAGATATTTTGATCGTGTGAAGAATATGGCGAAATATTTTCGATTCTTGTTTGGTAAACCTAATGCACACACACACACACACGTACACAAACGAAATCAATTATGAATGTAACTGCGACTGTACAGTTAAGTGAAATGTTTGTACACATTATCTACTCAGGCTGAGGAAGAACAACGTACGAAAAGTCCTCAGTAGGCTGATTAAGTATATATTGAATAGTATGGAGACCCTAAGGAATCGTCCATGAAAAACTAATATCAAATATTATAATATTTGTGTTCTGATAACACTGAACACACACGTATATCAAAGTTGAATGTAAAATATTATGAAATATCTCACAGACACAATATTACAGTGAATTATGAGAAAACGAAATTAATGAGAAATGAAAGATTGTCATTAAAATAAGAGTAAACAAACAATATTTCACAACTAAAAGTCAAATAATAGAAAACTGAGGAACAACAAAAGTGGAAGTCTTAGTAGGTACACAGAACGATGTAAATATCGTTAAGGCGTACACACCCTTCCACATCCACACACACACACTCAGACACACAAACAATGTGATAAAATTGTAAACTGATGAAAGTCAAATAAAATTTCCATTTTTTGAGAATTGTCTCAGTGACATCTCCAGAATGACAATGAAATCATTGGAAATGTAATTATCATGATAAGTAAACTCAAAATTATGATTGTCTGAAGATTCCAGGTCATCGCTAAATTGATGTGGTTGGAGGACTTCTTCTCATCTGAAGGAATCAATAAATAAGCAAATATGTAGGTTATTCAATAAATATTGTCAAGTTACTCCGAAGGATTATTAAAAGTTATACGTATGTATGTGTATCGAGTGAGATAACTGAGAGATGAATGAAGGCCTAAATATACCTGTCAGTAGATATCGTATTCATGGAGAAACCTTTCCAACTAATTAATATAATAGCAATTGGTTGAACGTATGGCTTAGTCATTGGTAGGACGATATACAATGATGTAGTGACTAGCATGAAAACTCGATGTTCATGATTTCCTCATTGAAAATTTCAACCAAAACTTGCTTAGATAACTATCTGGTTAGGAAACATGACGGTAACACTTTTGCAATAAGACTGAAGATTGGGCGTGGAGACAGCGACCCAAAAACCAATAAAGCAGACAAAATATCTGTACGACAATTTCAGGTGGCAATAATCAATTTAGACCTGTCTTCTCAGTATGAATGTCAATGTGACCGAGTCAGTCGAATAAAAGAGTAGAATACGACATGCAAAATATCCACGTGTGTGGATGAATAAAAGAGTGAGAGACACATTCTGAGAGTGATTGTGAGACATATAGACAGATATATACATGTGAATATATGAATAATCAGCGAGGACTAGGAAAAGGGCGAAAAGAAAAAGCAACAGAATGTATTCCAGAGAGGACAGCGGTAAGAGTAAATAATCTGGAGAAAACAAAAGAAAAAGGAAAAGAAAACACGACAAAAAGAAAGAAGCAGGAAAAACAGCGAGAAAAAAGGAATGAAAAGATTGAAGACAAGGTGGGTTGACAAGATAATGACTTCACTCACCTGGTGTTGCTGGTTCGAATTGACGCGTGGTGGTCAGCTGTTCATCAGTTCCGTGTGACTGAGTGCTTTCTGACTCATCTGTGACCGGTTGTGTTTCTGTTGAGGGGGAGAAATAGAGAGAGAGAGAGACAGATAGAGAGAGACAAATATAGGGTGAGATATGTGTAGATAGGGAGAGGAGAATATTTTGATGTGAATGATGCAGAATTGGTGGGTGGGTTTGTCGTCGAAATCATCTGCCGTGAGGGATGATGGTGATGATGGTTTTCAAGGAGTGTGTAGTCTTGTGTTATCTGGTGTTTCCTTGTGTATGAATATGTGAGAGAATGTGGTGTGCTGTTTTGAGTGTTTATATGTTGTGCTATTTTGTGCTCTGGTGTGCTGTGTTTCGTTGTTCTGTGCAGTGTTGTGCTGTGCCTTGTTGTGTTTCTTCTCTCTGTCTTGTGTTGTGTTGTGTAGTGTTGTGTGTTGTGTGTATTGTGTTGAGGTGATTTCGTGTGTGACCTTGCACATTGTTCTCTTGAATTCATCGATTTCGCTGTGTTTCCGTGAATTTTGTGTTAGTTGTTATTGTTCGTTTGTTACTCAGTTGGTTGGTGAGTTGGTCAGTGAGTAGTTCAGTGAGCTGTTTAGTCGGTTAATTAGTTAGATATTTAGTTATATACTGAATGGGTGTGTGATTGAGTTTGTTATTTGGTTAGCTGGTTGTTTGTTGATTATCTCGTCAGTTACTTAGTTCATTAGATAACTCGTCAGTTAGTTTGTGTGGAAGCGAATTGAACCAGATGGCGGTTGATGCGTTGTGAAGGATGGATAATGAGGGCAAATCGTGGCATTGGAAGTCAAAGAAGGCAAGGCAAGGCAAGGCCAGGAAATGAAAGAAAAGTCTAGTCGAAGCGAGGCGAGGCGAGGCGAGCTGGTCGATTGGATTGATAGGGTTGGAGAGAACGAGTGTTGAGTGGATAATGAGTTGACTCACCTGGTGTTGTTGGTTCGAATTGACGCGTGGTAGTCAGCTGTTCATCAGTTCCATGTGACTGAGTGCTTTCTGACTCATCTGTGACCGGTTGTGTTTCTGTTGAGGAAGAGAGAGATAGATAGAAGAGAGACAAATATAGGGTGAGATATGTGTAGATAGGGAGAGGAGAATATTTTGATGTGAATGATGCAGAATTGGTGGGTGAGTTTGTCGCTGAAATCATCGAGCCGGATGGATTATATCGAGAATTATTATGATGACGATGGTTGTCTTAATGTTTGATAATATCTGATAGTTTCCATTCAATTTCACATTTGTGTTATTACGTCTTTCCTTGTATGGGGTTATGTGAACTAGCGTGATGTGCTGTGTTGTGTCGGGGTTCCTGTGTGTTGCTCTGATTTTTTTATTAATTTTGAATTCCACCTTACATTCACGTTTTTCTGCCATTTTCTTTATGTTGGTCTTTCCTGGCAGGTTTTACTTTTATTTCAAGAGCGTTTGTTTCTCGCTCTGCGGGCTTTCATGAATTATAAATCCTCATCCTTTTACAAATTTCCGATTAATTTTACCGAATGTCATATTCCTCTCCCTTTCTGTGTAATCCTTTTATCTTATTTCGTCTTTCTCTCGTAAAACATGTTCTTCAGTATTACAATTTTGTATTCCGTGTTTGTCATTTCTGGAATTTATGGAGGATTTCTGTTATGTACTTGTCGCCAAATTATTGCTATGTACTGGTCGAGAATTTAATAGTCCTGACGCAAGAAGGTGGAAATCAGAAGACCACTAGGTTTGCGATGATACTTCTATTGTCCAAACACAAGGAGAAGCAATAAGTGGTTTCACACCAAAGTAAGTAAGTGTCACAAGATTGTTAGAGCGAAATATATATGAATGTACAGACAAGTGTGTGAACAAATCAATAGACAGTCTTAACATGAATGGCTAATTATAATGGGGTGTCGATCCATATATACACAGCAAAATATAGCATACATGTCAACAACCACACATATAATATTGATATATGTCACCAATCAACGGACTGTCAACAAACACTCATATTATATATAATATAAGGGGAATATACATTGTTAAAGAAGAGAGGTTCATCAAAGTGAAATGGTCACAGACTAAGCGAGCAAACAGAAAGAGAGATCACCATACACACATATATATATATATATATATACATGGATACATATCACCTCCCCTTTTGAGAAGATTGATGATTAGTAGGATGTTTCCCTGGGGGTTTATCTCGAACCTTTGGGCTTGTTGTTGACGTCTGTCGTTTCGTCTGCCTGTTGGGTTTGCGGCTTCGGCTTCGTCCGGAATTGTCTGACATTTTATGCTTCTTGACTGCATTGCATAGCGAATTTAGTGGGACATCAGCCAGATGCAAACGATCGAACCAATCAAGTCCCAAAAGATTTAAATCACTCTTGGTGACGTAGCAAATTCCTGTGAATTTGATGTTACGGAATGAAACAGAACATTTGAGTTCACCAATTAGTTTGAGCCGCCCACCACAGGCGCTGAGAAGAGTCTGGGAAGTATTTGCGGTTGGCGGTCTGCCAATATTATTCCAAAGTTTCTCTGATATAACAGTAATATCAGAGGCGGTATCTATCTGCAGACGTGTATCATGACCATTCATCTGAAGATCAAGATATTTCCGCATACCTGGTGTTGTGGCTTTACAGGTTGCGAGTAGACTCAATGATCTCCTTGGAGATTTAGGACCAACAGTTTGTCGAGCTTTCGCTGGATTTTGATATCTGGTTTTGCGTGGCTGACAAAATCCATTTTTATGATCAATGATTTTGCACTTGCTGCAACGATGATTTTTGTACGGACAAGACTTTACAAAGTGCCACGCGCCACAATGCCAGCATGGTGATGGTGGGGTCTTCTTTGCAGTATTTTGTGAAGTTGGATGAGTATGTGTAGATTTCCGCGGAACATTAGAAAAAGGTGGGTCAGGAGTGGATGATGAGAGATTTTTGCTCTTTCGTAATGTATGAATATCAGAGCTTTTCGAAGGTGTTGATTCGACCAGGTGTGTGTCTTTCTGTAAATTAATCAGCCGTTGATATTCATCAGCTATGTCATGTAATGTTAACTTGGGATTTTGTTCTAGCTGATTGAGCAGTCGAGTTCGGATATCTGTGAAACGAGGAGATTGAAGACTGCATATGAGAATCAAGGCTTTGAATTGATCATCTGTTAAGGACCTGAGTCGAAATCTCTCACATTCTCGGTTGACTGTGCCAACGTGAGTAGGAAAATCATCATTTTCATTCATTGTCAGCTTGAGGAAACAATAACGTATGCTGAATAATGAGGAGTGGTCTCCAAAATGTTCACGCAGCAGCTTTATTGTATCATCGAAACACTTGTCACGTGGATTTTGGGGTAAAACTAGGTTGCAGTGCCGTTCATATTCTGCCGGACCCAATTTACGTAACAACACTCGCACCTTCCAAGCATCGTGTTGTGAGGCGAGATCAACAGTGAATAAATCCTCATAACGTTGATACCATGTGTCAAAAGTGACATTAGCATCTGGATTATAACTGAACTGTGAAATACTATTCACAATTCCATCGACAGATGGTAGCATGGTATGGTTCGGATTGCTTGAAGGTGAAGCTGAACCAGTCTGTTGGTTGACGAACATTTCCAATAATTTCATTTGTCGTTCAAGTAGCACTTCAAATTTAGAAGGATCCATAGTTTTCCCCGTCGCCAAACCTTGATCTTGAGGTTCTTCAGTTAGAGAACAACTGGGAAACCTCTGACTACTGGACAGCTGTTTATTTCTTGTTTCACCGCCTCATCAGTACGAAATCACCATACGAGTTCGAATCAAGGCGAGTTCGTGCATCATTGAGCCACTGGGACCCGATCCACAGGCCCATTAATTCTAACTTCTGCCAATTCACGACATGGGGCGACCATTTCTTTATGTTTTCTTCGATGACCTTCTGCTTCATATTCAACCTGATGCATCGCACTGAGCTATTAACTGTGCTGGAAATCTCATGTCACTGTTTACTTCCACCAAGGAAGATTATTCTACGGCGGAATTACACTCGACAATCACAGTCGCCGTGTCTTCTCTTCTTGTACTACCCATCATCTGAAGATTGCATTGTATGCAATATGTAGCAATGACATCCAACAGTCGCATGTATTCGAAATGTCACTTGTCTCTACAGGGTTCCCATCCACAAGAGAACATATATCCACATTTCGTGAATACTGACAAGCACCAGAGAACTGTTTCAATTCAGTCTTCATAAAATATCCTGTATTCACATGACATCTTTGACAGCTGGCTACCCACAATTCTGCGAAACGTATGACCAAGGTAGTTCCGTCAACTTCTACAATCATCTATGCATAGAACTAATCAAGTGACAGCCGGTCGAAAACAAGACTGAAACCATAGGATCATCATCATCATAAACACCATCTGCGTTACCTAGATACTGTCGGATGACGCAGTGACATCGCAGTATAAGTGCGAAGGACACTGCACAGCTTGTGATTCGGACATTCTCAACAAGCCTGTATTGCAATGAATAAGTGTGTAACGCTGACAACAGAAGCAACATTTACCGGACCGCATTCCTTATGCTCAGAATAATAAACTCATCAAACATTATTCTGTTATAGTTGTTAGTGTACTGTTATTGACTTTCAACAGACATTTCACAGAGTCGAATGTGAATTGATTGGGAGACTGTTTCTACACTACATTACACTACACACTACACTACAGAATGCCACAAACTTCACTGACCTCACTCGATACCTGTATGGTGGAGTCACATGTCACATATCTCATGGAAGCTTTCGAGGTGTGAGTGACAAACGTGCCCGCCATCACTGATGATACTCAAAATTGTAGTGGCGTGCGTCATCCGTTAGAACATGGAGTCGTGAGTTGAGTCGATAAAAGGCTGGAATCCTGAAGATCTCGACTTCGTGTAGGCAAAATCAAATTTTCCTGTCTCTCTAACACAAATGATGTTTGAAATCGCACGCCAAACAGGGATGATGAAGACGATCGATAAACAACAACAACAACAACAAAAACAAAAACAATCAACAACAGAAACAGTCACTATCACTAGTTGATCAATGAAGAAATTCGCCTCTATCACTCATATGGTCAGGAAGGCTTGCAGGTCAGTTGGCACGCATCAGGATTTCAATGCCACTCAGAAATCGAGAAGAAGAGGGACTGGCGTTTATTACTCTGAACTCAACATGTAGATTGACATAGATCAGCTCATGAAACAACATCCGATGAGAGTAATAGGTGCGTCAGTCAGTTAGTCAGTCAGCCATTCAGTAAGGCAGTCAGCGAGTGCTGCCCTATACTTCACAGACTTGACACATCCCTGAAATTATCTCCACCAGGCTGCAACCATACACCAACAACAACTGAATTCACTCAACACGTGAGATGGCTACTTCAGAAAGGATGAGAAATAGTCAGGTGTACCAGAAAACGAGTTAACAGCCGACAAGTATGTGGAATGAGGTTGATATCTGATTGGAAATAATCGTGACAGACAGTCGGTCGAATCGGAATGGGTAGTTACCGGATGTGAATCCGATGGCAACATGGAGAAGATCAAGTGGACAGGAAATCAGGTCGTTGGATGAGTTTTGAGGTGAGCTGTGAGTGGTGTGTGACGTAAACCGAGTCCCGGTCAGATGTATCACTGAGGTCCCATCTCCCACCAGGAAATCGGAAACTGCATACTGAAAACAACAACAATATTACTGAAGACGAAAAAGTGAAGTGAATTTACTGAGTAACTAATTATTCAACTAATTATTCACCAATATAGTCAGGTGTTCAGATCGATGTGAAGTCTCTCTTCTCACCTACGTCCCAGAATGACTATCGGAAAAAGGCATTACTCACACACTGTCAATTATCATAAGCACAGTAAACATTTCCTGCGAACGAATACCATTGTAAAAACGAACTCAACATTATGAAACATACCTCCAACTTTCATACGCTCAATCATATCCAAAACAGCCACCTTGAATCGTCTATACAGAAC